TGCTACTCTTGATCGATATTGAACTGCAGTAATTGCATATACCACTTTTATAGTCATATGCTTTTTATTAATGTTCACATTAAATAACTAAAATAAGTAATAATTAATAATAAAAATATGTGAAAATATATAGTTTCTATTAAATGAATGTAAAATTATTTAAATTAAAATAAATATGATTAACATTTATTAATAGTAATAACCAATAAATTCTTTATTTGGGTTTATTTTGCCTAAATTGTGTCAGGTTATTTGCCATTTAGTTATAAGAAAGATATAGCGATCAAAAATTATTTTATACCTACCCATATTTTGAGACTTATTATTATTTTATTGAACTACTTTATTTTATTAATTATAATATATAAATTTTATACATGTATGTACATGAGTTTTTCGGAGAGATAACACTAGTTGGGTTTCTAATACTTTACTGTTATGTACTTACGTTTTTAATTTTCAATTTAATATAAATTGATTTGTTACACAAAAAACATATATAAACAATTAAACATATATATGTTCAAAAAAAAAATTAAAAAATTAAAAAGCATAAAATGTGGGAAGCATGCAACACATACAAGTATTTTAGTGTAACAGAAAATTTAAAATAACTAAAATTTACGGCTACTTTACGATGCAATATTGCTAAAAAAATATATTTAAAAAATAATATAATCAAAAAATTAAATAAATAAATAATTTATAAAACAATAAAGTAAAACACAGACTACAACAAAGTGGCAATAATTTATTTTATTTTTTAATTTTTGGTAAAAAGTTTGGATATAATAGATAGTAAAAGTTTTCAATTTTTTATTTATATCTTATATATACAATGTGTATATATATAAATTTATGATTTACAATACAAATTTTTGTATTTTCATACAATATATATTTCTGTATAATATTATTAATATAAATGCTTGTTAATTTTAAAATTAATTTTTACAAAAATCTACATAGGAATTAACTACAAAATAATAAAATGGAAATACTACAGTAAAAAAAAAATAAGGCATTATTAATATATGAAATTTAATAAAAAAAATAATTTATTTTAGTAAATTACAAAATTAAAAACTACATATAAAGTGCAAAAAAAAAAATAATTATGAGCATAGGTTGAAAAAAAATATTTTAAAAAATCAGATTATTTGAAAAATCAAAAATTTAATTTAAGTTGTCTCAAGGTTTGGATATGATAATATAATTAATGTAATTTAAAAGACTTATTTAACTCTTATAACAATAAAAATTGTGTTCAAAATTAGTGTATTTTTCAATTTTCTAATAACGAATCAATTATCAAATGAAAAAATATAATAAATACAACTAATAACAAACACAGATGAACTTCTAAATATTACCAGTTACTTGAGCGAGAAATATACATTGGAGTTCTACTATATGGGGTGCATAAAATATTTTAGATATAATTTTAAATAAAATATATCTTATATATATGATAATAAATTCATTTTTTATGAAAACAATATCAAGTACTTAATCAAGCAATAATCTTTCAAATAAAAATATAGCTTAAAAATAGTAATAAAAATAAATTTGACTACTTATAATAATAAAAAAAAATCAACGATTCACATCTGTTATGGAATAAACAGAATTTCCATTGTATAGCGTCAGCTCACTGCCGGTAGAGGGCGCAGCCACAGTCACATACGATTTCAGGCGGGCGTTAGGCGACGACATCAAATTGTTTGGTTGCGGTTGTTTATGATTCAAAAAATGGCACGAGGCGCCACAAATTTCAACAAATTTACATACAAAATGTAAATTTTGTTTCATAAATATGTTTTAAAGAATTTTTGGCGGCATTTTAATTAATGGATTTTCGCAGAAAAGATATAAATAAATAAACAAAATGTCCATCAAAAAATTTGCAAATAATAAATGAATTAGAAAAGTTATTTAGACCAAAGCTTGTTTTGTTTTTGTAAGAAATTGTTTACAATTTGCTTTTACTTTGCCATAAGCGGTTTTTTATTGTAATTGTTGTAATATTGTTATATTAAAGTTGTTGTAGCATGTTGTTTATTTGTTGTTGCTTTTGGTAATTGTAGTGTTTATAAATTTGTTAAAAACAATTTTTAATAGTGGGATATGATATCATCAACCGGAACGAAAAATGTTTATATCATCATTTTAATAAAAGTATTCGTATTACAAAATTATTTGTATTGTATTATAATTTATTATCACCAAATGTTTATAAAACATTTTTAAGTAAATCTATAGCTTTGTAAATTGTATGCAACTCTTTTATTTTATATATACATATATACATGTATACATATAGTTTTATACATATATATATATATATAGTTTGGTAATAATTTTAATAGTGTTTTGTTTTGCATTTAATTTTGAATTTTGAGCAAGTTCCAAAAAATCCATTTTCGAATGTTTATTTTAATATATTTATTTTTATATTAAGTTATGCCAATTTTTCCATTAAATTTATATATAATGTTTTATATTTAGTTAATCAGTGCACATCGTTTTTTTATTTTTATAAAAAAGAGTAGTTTTAGAAATTGGTGTTGTTTTGTAGTAGTGGTAGTGATAGTGGTAATAGTGTCGAAAAATTTGTTGGATAGGTTTTGGTAGTACACATATACATAAAAACAAAAACAATATAAAAAAAATAGAAACAATATAAAACATTTAATAAAAAACATGAAACACAATACAAATATATTTAGACAAATATTATTAACAAAATAAAAATTTAAGACAAAACTTTAAACCAATTGCTTATTTTAAAATAAACTTTTTACCAAGAAAGCCAATGTAACAGTTTTAAAAACTGAAAGCCATTTAAAAATAACACCAAGCGTTTTGTGTACATACATTTTTTCCGCTTAAAATATTAATTTAATATAATTTTTTTGTTAACAATGTTAATAAATTTAACATTATAAGTGTTTAAATAATATGATATATACAAGCGCTTAAATTTTCTCACTTTATAAATTTTTACTAACCTTAAGTTAACCTTAATCGTATCTGTTCAAAAATGGGAATTTATATTTTTTCTGACCGCATTTGTTCTTATATATTTATCACTACTCCTATTACTCATCATTTTGTTATTTATAGCTAATAAATTAAGAACTATATTATAAATTTATTTATTTTTATTTTATTAACAAAAATTATTAAAAAATATTTTTATATTTTTAATTTATAAAAATATTGTTTATATTAAATTATAAATTATAATTATTATTATTTAATTTATTAAATTATTATTAAGATTTGCATTTATGGAAAAATGTTAGTTTCTTAATCACAAAAATTGTTTTTTAAATTTTTTATTCATAAAAATTGTTATTTAAATTTCGTATTTATAAAATATTAGTGTAAATTTTTTGATTTTTAATTTTTTTTATAAACTTTAATAAATGTATGCAGTCCAACACTTAACTTCAAAAAATACTATTTACGTAATATTTTTATTAAATTTTTTTTTTAATATTTTTATTTATAATTAATTTTTTTTTTCACAAATTTATTGTGTTATATGAATTTATTTACACTAATTTTATTGCAATTTTTTTAAAATTTTTCAATTATTTTTAAATTTATTATTTATAATAAAAAAATAATATTATTTTAATTTTAATATAATTAAGTATTTATTTTTATCAATTTTATATATTAAAAATTATTATTGTTCAAACATTTATTTTTTTAGTGAATGGTTTTATTTTGATATATTAATCAAAGTATTATTTGTTTATATTATTCACTATTTTATAATAACATAATACTAATTTATGTAAAAAATCTTTAAAAATTTTTATTACAATTCAAAATTTATGATTTTTTTTAATATGAGTATATAGTTTGTAAAACTTAATTGAACCTTTCAAAAAAATTATCTTACAAATTCTTCATTTTTTCTCCTACCTTTAGTATGAGATTCTACATACTTTCAATTTCCTATTTAATCATTTCCTTTGATCTACTGGTATCATTAGTTTATTTTAAAAATTTTGCAGTCATTTTAATTCAAGGAACATAATCTGTATTTTTTTACCTTAAACAGTATATTTAAATTAAAAAAAGAATATTTTAACATGTATAGTGATGGTTAATTTAAAAAAACCTTGCTATATATAATATATTAGATATTTAATTATGTATAAGCTTATTGTGGTACTTAAATAATAGTGTTTGTTGATTATAAAAAAATAAATGTTTAAATATAACTTAATAAAAACAAAAATATAAAAGTGTTTAACATATAATTGTTTAAGTGTTTATTTATATATTAACAGAGTATTAAATATACTTTAAGATTTTCATATATATTATTTACAATGTTAGAATATATGAAAATCATAAATAGATTACATATATACATTATTCACATATAGAATTTCAATTAAAATATTTATTATAAGATAAAAGGAAGTTTAACGTAATTATATATAATATAATACAATATGAGTATAATATATGAGTTTATAATAAAATCACATAAAACATTGATTAAATTAGTAGTATGAAGTCTATAATTGTTTTTAAATTAGTATTAATTGCTTTACTGTAACTAAAGGTGCAGATATTGAAATATGTATTTATTGGGTTAGAGTATTACATGTTATTTAATGGTATTTAAATTGCAATTTGTTAAAATACTAATAGGTCACTTTATCCGATATAGTGTTAGGAGTATTGGTAACATCTGTTATAGTTACAGAAATTTCACTGTTTTAGTAAGAAAGAAATAAAAAATTACCCACAAAGATTAGTTTAAGCTATAATATATATTTTTATACTAATTGAAGTGGTGAAGATCAGAGATAGCAAGAAATAGAAAGAGTTATTAGTACTGCAGTAGTACATAGAAATAGAAGTGAAGAAGTATAAAGTGCGTTTAGGTATTTGTGCTTTCTAAGTTGTTAAATTGTGTTTATAAAAGTGCATACTTTTTGTAAACTATATTTTCTTAAATCTTGACTTACCTCGCATATGTTGAGTTGACATTCTTAAGAGAGAAACTGTTTTGATTTGGAAGTACAAACTTCTGGACCCACTGAAAAAGAAATTGATTGATTTAAAATCCAATAACATTTATTGATTTAATTTATTTTTTGTATAATTTTTTTACATATTTCGATTATGTTTAATCTTGAATATAACAAATAAATATTAGAAAAAATTAATAACTATATTAGTTAATAACTATATTAGATAATTATATTAAACATTTCTAACGTTTGTTCTCTAATACACTCAGTTACTAACTGACCAATATTATAAATATTAGCAAAGTTTCCTACAATGTATAATCATTATAAATATATGAAAATACTAAGCTATCACGTACAAAGATAAGGAAACTCCCACTTTTAGATAAATTATACAAAGTGTTTAATTTTTTGCAAACATAATAAAGTAAAATTGATAATTCAAAATGAAAGAGCTTTTAAGTATGGATCTTAAGTTATATACCTAATTTATTGATAATAAATATTGGCAACATGTCAAAACTCCTAATAATAGTTTTTTTAGTTGATTGACAAATACAGATTAAAATTTTAAAGAGAATTTGTTTTGTATACTATATGTTTTTTACACTTATGACAGAAAAAGAAGCACAAAAGTATATCATTTTTTTTGTACTATGAGATTTAAATACTTGAAATTGCTTTAAAGTAATATAAATTATTTACATTAATTATGTCAGAAAGAAAATGATAATCATAACTTAGAAAACTAAAGTTATTCAATATGAATTGCATATTTACTAAAGATAAGTATTAATTTTGGAAACGGGGAAACGAACACTAAGAAGAAAAAGATTCGTCATAATTAATTTTATTTTAATATTTAAAAATATCAGAACTTGTTATTTTAAATAAAACTAATTCTATTTAAAATTTGTTCCAACCAATTAAGAAATATATTTATATTACTTTGTTTTTTGCATTAGAAAATAATCTATTCTTAACTCGAGGTACTTTTTTAACGACACTTTTAATTCTTCAGGTCCATCTTTAATAAATAATTACTACTAAAGACTTAATCTGGTATATAAAGGAAATAATTAGTCCATTTGCAACGAACTGATTTCGCATGATTAATTCAAAATTGGTTTGAAAATTTTGGCAATAGAAACTGCCGAAGAGCATTAAATTGACGAAACAAAATTATTTTGTTTCGTAAATAACGTCATTAGAAAATCAATCGAAACAAATAACTTATAATCCATAACTTTTTCATAATAAATTATAAAATTTAATAAATATATACAAATTAAATTAAATATTTATAATCCATAAAAATAATCTCTACTTATTCAAAATAATTGAATTACAAAAATATTTCTTAATTTTTAAGATTGTTTATAGAATTGAAAAGATATTTTCGCTGTAAAGCATCTGCTACTTATCCGTAGCGAAATTTTTCATTCAGTCTACGCAAATAAAAGAATAACATTTTGCAGTTATTTAGAACTTATCGCTCACACTTAGCAGTTACAACTAATTCATAAAATTAATTTTTAACTAAATTTCAGCTTACCTTATTATTATTCAGCACTCGATTACCCATACAAGCTGCCATATGTATCACAAGGTATAAATTAAATAATAAATATAAAATGGCAAAAATACCTATAAATAAATAAATAAATTATTAATTGAAATTGTAAAACCTTCACATTCACGATAATGAAACAAATTACTTACAAATTATAGCTAAAATTCCGCCTTCAACATTATATGTCTCTACTTGACTGATAACAAAATACAAATTAACTGCAATCACAACAACTGTCAACGCTATTGAAGTAATTTTATTGCCACTATAAAAACAAATTGAATTTTTTGAAATCAAGTTACGGTAAATTATGTTTGCATACAAAAAACTGTCTTAGAAATGCACTTACATGCCGTTCACAAATTCTCCCATAATAGCTGTACATGAAGTAAATGCAATTGTTGGTATGACTGCAAAAGGCAATTGTAAGGACATGACAGCATTTAATATGTCATTCATATCAGTTAAATCTTCCATTTTGCTAAAGAAGGCTAAACAAAATGTTGGTACAATAGCAATAAGCCGTGTGAAGAGTACACGACGCCAACGTGGCCATTGCAAATTGAGAAAACCTTCCATTGTGAATTGGCCAGCATATGTGCCTGTCATTGTGGAACTCTGTCCAGCAGCTAAAATACCAACACCCCAGATATACATTGCTGCTGCACCAAATGTACAACCTAAGAAAAGGCCACCTTTATAAAGATCAGCATTTATTATATCAGTTCCATTATGACTATCAGCAAATGATACTTTTGCATCTTCATACATAGGTTGATTTACGCAAACATCCAACTAAAAGTATTTGAAAAAAAAAATTTTTTAAAAATAGTCGATTATATAATATATAAATTTACATACCACATCTTTATTGGTTTTACCGAACATTCCATGCGCAAATACAGCTACAACAAATAGATTAATAATAAACGAAACGAATAATGCGATCGAAGCTTCAATGAAGAAATAAAAATTTGCTTCACGCACCCTTTTAGGTTGACGACGATCTACGTCACGTGACTATCAAAAAAAAAAGAATTTCTTTTTAGTGATATATGGTATATACATATATTATATTATAACACCCACTTACCTTTACTAAAGCTGAATGTAAATATAAATTGTGTGGCATGATAACAGCACCGACAACTCCTACTGCCTGCAGTAGGACTTGTGAATTACAATCCTTGCACCAAGGTACAAACATACCCTCTAGTACCTCACCTTGATTTGGCGCCGATACAACATACTGTAATAATTTAAATCAAATAAGTAAAATAACAATGTATTAATAACAATATATTAAATTCTTGAGGTATAATTAGTTTCATATAAATAGCGGTATATTATTAGTATATTAGTATACCTCACGCTTTGTTATTACCAAAAAAAAAAAACTTAAATCATATTTATTATCACATTTGATATATACAATCGTTGTAAATTAAACGATTTGTACCCTATTGATTGTGATACTGTTGAGTGTTGACGGTTTGATTTTTTCATATCAATATCTAGGTATCACTTTTGACAAACGGCTTAATTGGTATAAATTCTACATCTCCTTAAGCTGGAGTTTATTAATAATTGCTTCAACCTCAAAAATAGAAAGTTATTATTTACTCAAATAATTAGGCCAGCACTACTGTACGCATGTGTAAAGCCTTAAATACTGCTATAAACCAATTACAGATAGCACAAAATCTGGCTTTAAGAACACTAATTAAGATTCCTTGGTATATTAGAACAACAGACATGCATAGAGATCTAAGAATCGATTCAGTGAAAAAGTATGTCAAGGACAGAGCCCTAAAATTATTCAAAAAAGTTGATACATTGCCCAACCCCGCTCTAATAAATCTTAAATCCACCTCAGGACGCACAGGAAGATATGCAGATCTACGGCCGTCATCAGTTAGAAAATAAATAAATAATAATGATTCTAGTATAGTTAAAGTTTAGTGTGGGGCAGGGATAAGCCCCCCAGTCACAATAGAGTAAAAGTACGCAATAGCACTAACTTAAATCACAACAACAACAACAACAACAACAACAACAACAACAATTTTTTTTAACTATATATATAATTAAATATTTTAAATCTAAATAATGAAATCTTTATATATATTCTACATTACCATTTGCATAGTATACATAAGAGACCCCTAACAATTTCTTATGAGCATTCAGTTGCTTAAATAAACGATCAAAATATACATTAGGTTTAATAACAGTTTAATATAAAAACGACAAGACATAGTTATTTTATAAAAATGAAATAAATAAATATTTATCTAACTTAACAAAAAAAATTAAATTATTTACCTTGCATTTAAAATAATTAATTAAATAATTAAGCTACAAGTTTATGATTATTTATATGATATTTGATATTAAGCATTTTATAACATTTGATTCATAAATTAAAAAATAATTATTAAAATAAATATTTATAAAACCTTGAGAAGAAATGTTTGCGATGCTTTTTTATAGTTGATGGATATGTCAACAATGAATGTCATAATTCAGCTGTTAAAATGTTAAAGTTAATATTTTCTTAATAAATAGTTCTTAACAGTGTGATAGAAGCAAAGAGATAAGCTATGAGAATTATTTTATATAGTTTGTATAGTCTGTATTTTGACTGGTACTCAGAAATGTTATAAAAAGATTTATGAAAAAAAAATATATAATAGAACAAATTTGTTACTTTTAATGCAAGACAGTTTATCGATATATTAATTGTAAAATTAAAATAACCTGCTTATAAGAAAAACATCCTTATAGTCGTTGCACTTGTATTGTTAATTAACAATAGCAGAAAAGTATATAAAGACGAAACTTGATAAATTGACTATTAAGTCATTCGCTGTAAATACACCTATCGCTATCACAGAGTTGAATTCACAGAATTCTTTAAGTACAATATATTAATTTGATTGGTTAGTTTAGCAGAAAGGCATTAAAACAAAAATTTAATAGTATATATGTCCTTCCTGATGTTAGAGATGAATTTATACTAAATAATGTATCTATGTTCGGTAGTATTCTTATAAAACACTTTTATGCTCACCAATTGAAAACAGAGTAAGAATGAGAAACCTGTAGTTTGCCAGAACTGGGCTTTAGCAAAGCAAATAAACTAATACGTTTTCTTGCTAAAAGAGCGAACTTTAACAATAGGTTGTCAATCTAGTTATATAATACAAATTCAATTCTTCATCGCCTTTATTCGATAGGTTTATTAAGTATATTATATTAAACAATGGTTTTAGAATGAAACCATAAAAAAATAAAATCTATAAAAATAGGACCTGCAACTCAAAATAACTTCCAACTTAATACAGATCGCATAGAACTCGACTCCTTCATATAACTAGGCAGTGTGATTTCAGCAGAAACACTAAAAGCGCTAAAAGAGACACAGCGCTCATTTATCCGTCAAAACTAAGTTTCGCATATTGAAATCATATGGTCTAACTGTGCTACTCTACGGGTGTGAAGCTTGGTTCCACACAGATGCACTAATAAGCAAGCTGTAAAGCTTTATTATCCGTGGACTACGCTGCTTACTTAGAATGCCCGACGTTATAACTTATTAAGGACTTTACGAAAAATGCAACATTAATTCTGTAATAACTTTGATTAAGCGTCGCAAATGGAAATGGATTGACCACACACTACGTCAGAAGCCTTCTAAAAATTCCTAAAAACTGTTGAGTTAAGTGCTCTACTGGAACCCTTAAAAGGCCTCCTAATTTCTTTCCTTTAAAATAAATTGAGATAAACTGAAAATCTTAGGGAGTCAAGCAATTAATTCGCAACCATACGAGATGGAAATTATTTTTTTAACTGGAACCCTTAAGGACGTGGACGGTCTCCAAATTTCTTTCCTTTAAAAGAAATTGAAATAAACTGAAAATTTTAGGGAGTCAAGCAGTTAGCTGACAACCGTACGAGATGGATATGTGCTGCAATAGGAGTTAAAGGAAAGAAGAAAAAGAATTACATTGAATTAGAAAATTTTAAATAAATAAAACCAATAACTGTAAAGAACTCTATATTATCGTGTCGTTAATATAAATATAGTGATGAAATAACCCTATTTCACTATCAAAAGAAATATGAAACTGCAAACTATTAATAATAATATTAAAATAATTTTAATTAATTGGATTTATGTGTTAATATTATCAACAGTTTTAAATTTTAGTTAAATAATATTTCCTAGTTTTTTTTATAGACAGCTTCCAGAGATGATTCAATTCTAATAGAAAATTGTTATCCTTAATACTTTATTTAAGGATAATTCTTTGTAATTCTTGTTAGTATTAAAACTATTCTAAAACAGTAGTTTAAATACGGAAACAATAATAATAAACTTATAAAAAATGCTTGCACTAAATTCAATCAAATTTAATTCTAGATATTTGAATCGATTAGCATTTTTGTAATATATTCGTGCATCTGAAATATAGTGATGATAATCATGAACAAAAGCAATGTAATGTAACATTAATAACAATTCTTTACTTATACGTAAAAAAGTAGTACTAAGAATTAATATCAGTAAAATCAAGTCTATGAAAATAAATTCCAATAATGAATGACAGAAATGCAGTTAAAGGAAATTATATTGACGATATAGATATATTCGAGAACTTTGGTAGTACTTTTTCCACTGATGGTTGTAAAATAACTGATGCTAACAACAGATTGCGAAAGGCAAAAAGTGCATTTGCATATCTTAAGATTGTACAGAGAGTTCTTCAAATGCAAACAATTATAAAAACTTATATATATGATGCATATTTCAAGTAAATACTATTGTATGAATTTGAAATTTATGGATGTTCTTAATGAGTATAATGATACATAGAAGTTTCTTAACAACTATGTTCTATATAATTTAAAAATCTAGTGCATAAGAAACTAACATTATTTCCAAAACAAGGGAGACAAAACTGTGAGCAGGCTAAAGCGAAGTGTAGGGTAAACTGATAAATATTTTAGTGAATTAAGTGCAACAGTTGGAACTACAAATAATTGGCGATTCTTATTTAGACTCTTTTTTTTCTTTTTTTTCGGCTGTTGATAGACTCACTTTATGTATAAAAGATTTATATAATTTATGTCTACTCTAATAACTAAATTTAATATCGAATTTAATTTCACATAAAATAGAATCAAATACGTGTGAACTATGGAAAGATAATATCTAATGAAAATATAAATATTTATAAAGTTTTATGAATTATAATTGTAAATAATAATAAAAATAAAAAATAATTATCGAAACATTAAAACTAAAAGCGTAAACAATTAATTGTCAAAATTAGCATAGATGAATTTTAATATCATTATTTCGTTGAAGTTTTAATAAAATCTTGGGAAATTTAAAATCTGCGTTTTCACGTTTTTTAATTTTTTTAAGTTGAATTTGAAACGTACTTACATTTTGCTAAATAATACTATTAATTATTCAAACAGTATAAAAAATTGTTTCTTTTTCATAGTTTTGTAAAAAAAAAAGCAAAAACTAACAATTATAAATCTGTAAATTTTCTTTTGACATATCAATATCAAATACACATCACTTTATAATGCAGAAGTTAAAATGTGTGCTTTTCACGTTTCACAAGAACGTGCAGTTAAAAATAAAATAATTAGTTTCATTAAAAAATATATTTAAGATAAATTAAATTCAATAATTGATAAATTATATGAAATTAAATCTGTCTTAAGTAATCACATGAATTTGACTATAAATTAACTTGTTAAAATTGAAAAGACAATTTAAGCTGATAATTATTGTTGGTATCAAACTTCACAAATAAAATATCTTTTAATAATTACCTCATAGCCGAACGTGACTGCCATCACAGTTATTAGAAAACCAAATAGGAATTCTAGTTTTCTCAAACCATATTTATCTAGGAACAAAAATGTAAAAGTATCAACAATTGTTATCAGCGTGCCACCCCATAACGGTATACTAAAAATTAAAAGAAATGTAAAATACATTTTTTTAAATAATCTATGCTTATCGAATCGTTGATTGATAAATGACAACATACTTACAGAAAGACATTTGTGTAAATCACAAAACTTACATTTTATTTGATAAAAGATATATCGCTATGGCAGTGCCTATCACTTCTTGCATATCAGAACCAATGATAGCAATTTCAATCATAATCCATAGTATAAAACGTGGTACTTTTTTATATTGTCGATAGCACATCTCAGCTAAATGTAAGCCAGTTACCGTACCCAATCTAAAAATAATGGTATTATGTCACATATTTTATACTAAACATTGTTATATAAATCTAAATTTAATTGCATTAATGCTTACCTTGCAGCTAAGCGCTGCATCAGTAAACCTAGTACTGTTGCCCATAGTAGCACCCAAAGTATTTTATATTTAGCTACAGCACCACTTTGTAAATCTGATTCTATATTTCCCGGATCAAGATATGCAATTGACATAAGAAATCCTGGTCCCGTAAAAGCCCATAGTTTTCTCCAACTAAATCCAATCTGTAAAATAATAGAGCGTTCTTTTATAAATATAAAAATGGTACTAAGAGTGAATTTTTAAAGGTTAGAAATTTCATTTTAGAATTCTCTAAAATGAACTAAATTCCATTTAAAATAAATTATACTAATAGATGTATATAATCTACCTAAACGAAGTGTTAGCAAAATATTTTACGTGAATAATATATTACGATTTTAAGATAAATATTTAAAATATGTTCTAATTTTAATTTAAATATCATTCATGATTTATTTCCTGGTTTAGAATAGTAAAAAATTTTAAATAAGTGTTTTATTTTTTCACGACGTTTTTATGTAAGTGTATTAATTTTTTTCGTGTCTTTTTAATATTGCTTTATGACAGTTGTAAATAAATACAATCATTAGTGATATAACAGGGAAGTACCATTCTATAATGAATGTACTTTTCACTAATTTTATAAACGTGTAAATTATCTAATATATAGAATACCAAAATTCAAATGCGTACCAAAACATCAAAAGCATTAAACAATAACTTAATACGTTACCTGTGTGGTATAAAATTTATACCACACAGGTACATACTATAAATATACTATAAATCTTGCAGGTACACTTTGAGGAATGATTAAAAATTTGGTATCAGTTAGAGAACTTTATATTTAAGCTTCATATTTAGAACACGTTTAGTTACTAGAACAACAAATTCTCTTTATTTGGCATCGATGCCAGACGGAAATTTTTTTCCTCAATATATCTGCTTCTAAGTAGCTATGGAATTACTCTTTCTTAAATATAGAGGGATCAATTCTACACTCCTAAAAAATAAGAGTACTGTTGATCATCTTTAATCTAGGCTTTATATGTAAGTAATGGTAATGTCAAAAACTTATACAGCAGTATGGTAAAGATGTGGTAAGGTTTCTAAATTGTTAGAATCTTGAAAGATCGTATAAGAAAAAGAAAGTCGCCCGGGTAATTCTTTATCCATTTGTTACTAGCTACTACAATAGATCACAATACCTTGATTATTTGACGATCTTTCTTTCATTATTTTTCAACAAAATTTTCTTCAAGTTCAGTGATATATACATAAAGCTTACAGCTATGGCATTTTAGCCGTCTGCCGGAAGTTTAGATTAATCTAATAGCTAATTAACTAATAACTAATTAATCCAATTTTTATAAATATTAAATAGACAAAAATAAATTTAACAAAAATAATAGATTTTATATAAGTTAATTTAAAAGTCTTCATTAATAATATTTTGCCTATATTTAAATGTAGTTTTAATAAACGCCGTTAACAATCTCCAGTTGGGGCCATTCAGTAACCGTATGGTTTCATTGACATCGAGCGTGGGTTTACCGAAGTACAGCAATCTATGTTCTTTAAAAATTGGGCATTCACCTACTAAGTGTATAACATCGCCTTTCAATTTAAGGTTGCATATCGTGCACAGCGTGTCTAGACTTTCATGCGGTACGTAGCACAATCGTAGGAGCTCGCCGCGGGTTTTGAAGATTGTCCTTATTGTTTCTAGGTCATATTGCTCGTGAAAGTAATTATTGACACCTAGATCATAATTCAACTTACTATATGCATCTCTCGATATACTGTTTCTTGCCGTTTCTACAAAATGTCTACGTTCTTCAATACTTAGTTTCGTTATAATATTTTTTTGCCACATTTTCCAGTTTTCATTAATACTCAAATCATTAGTTATATTTAACTCGGATGCCAGATTTGACCATTTTTCAAAAAATAATGTTTTTTCATTTATTAGGTACTGCGCTAATGTTTTTTGAATCCTATTGTCTGGCAAATTCCTAACACGATTGATGTAATCAAAATGCAATTTTAATGTTTGGGTATATAGCGTCGGTAGACCAGTTTCTAAATGCACCATATAATTTGGGGTATTTTTCGGCAAACGAAACGTTCTCTTTATATAAAATGTCTGCAATTTTTCTACTGCGTCATATTTATCAACACCCCAGATTTGCGCTGCATAATTTAGAACTGACTTAACTGTGGCTTCAAAAACTTTGTATTTTACGGGAAGTGACACTTTCGGATTTCCTAAGACATTTATCCAGGTACAATTAATAGCCAATTTAGCTTCATTTAACTTCTCGTTCAAGTGGTTATCGAATTTTGCGTTATATTTCATATTTATTCCTAAATATTTATAATTATTAACCACTTCTATTTGATCATCGTTAAGGTACCATTTTTCATCATTTCTCAATCTTCTAGCATGTTTCCTAAATACCATCACTTTTGATTTGTCTGTATTTATAGATAGTCCCCATAAGTTGCAATATCTATTTAATTCATCTATCATATTTTGTAACATTATTGGAGAATCTGCAAACAACACAATATCATCAGCATATAATAGTACTTTTAGGCACATATTGGCAATCGTAACACCACCAGAAAGAAATTTACTTAAGTCATCAACGAACAGTTCAGTTCAGTGATATAATAGTTTTCAATCCATATGTAAAAATTTTTTTATTAATCTGAATCTGAATCTCATAGTTACTACGTGGTTTAGCAGTTTAAAAATATTTTTTACTGAGTATACATTTTGGTACACATGTACTTAAATACTATTGGGACGGAATAGTACTTTTCATAATGATTTGCCAAAATTATATTTGAGAAAGAGTTAGTAATAGTTGACAGAATAATTATAAGCTGTTTAAGTACTGCCATTTTTAAACAAAAAGTTATTAAAGGAAAAATTGGTATATAAACTTATATTAAATAAAAAATGTTAAGTTCATAGAAAGAACTCCGAATAGAAATTTTAAAGATATAATAATCTGCTGTGCAGTTTAACATAACTTGTCAATTTTGCCATATATAGTATAGTATATAGTATACTTAACATTCCGAAAAATAGCGAACCCATGTTTGCTTGTATTCATTTCCAAGAAACGTTCGTGAAAGTTAATAGATTTGAAGCCGTTTTATCTTACAACTTTGATTAATATTTATATATATACAACCAATCCATCATTAATATTCATTTTAATTTCAAATGATTTGATCTATAGGTAAAGAACCAAAAAAAAATTCAAAAAACAATTAAATTTTTTCTGATCACAAAACACTACTCTACGATCTTTATTATAATATATTTATAATTTTTATTAATATTAATATTTTATTACTTGTTATAATTGTTTTTATTAAAAAATCTTTATTTAAATATTTTAATTAAAATATCTAATGAAATAAGATTACATTGCAAATAATTTATTTAAGTTTATCACTAATTATTAATAAATAGCACTTGTTATAATTTATATGGACAGGTTTCCAATTACTTTGAAATGAAAAAATTACCCGATTATCATAGTTATCCATTGTAAGTTATAGAACCGTCAAATGTATTTATAAGATAATAACAAATTATTATGCGCAATATTTAAAAATCTTCTACTGATTGGAAGTAAACGTTTCATACTAAATTAATTTGATGAATGCATCAACAATTCTTATGGGATGGGGTTTTTCTGAGATCTTTTGCTTTAATATATTGTACATATTTACTCATGTATGCGGTTTTCTGTTTCTTTTCTAGATGATAACAAAATGAAAGCAGATTTTTGCAAATTACTCTGTAGATACAATTAGCTGCCTCTGTTTACATACCTTATCACTCTCTGGTATTAAGACCTTCTCATCACTAAAATATGCTTGTTTCGAGGCAGGTTTCAGTAGTGTTTCCTCATTCGGCAAGATTTGTTGTTGCAATTGTTGTTGAAAGTTATTTGACGTCGTGGTATTTGTATTTGATTTGTTTGCTCCCGCTCCAGATTGTTCCGTCGTATTATCATTCGGAGACATTCTATCAAGAAAAAAATAAATCATTAAAATAAGTACAATATATTTTTCAACAAAAGTACATAAATGTTTTTATAAAATTAAAGTAGTTTACTGTTATGAATCATGCTCAAGATCAGCTGCAAGCCATTTGTATTACGCATATTATATTAGCTAAGAATTGAAAATCAAGTTCATGTTCAGTTAAAATATAATATATGTGCATAATCGATGGTTAGAAAAAGTTATTTCTTTTTATATTGTGCAACTTAGCAGTGGTCAGATAAACATTTATATATAGTGAGTTTTTACTAATATTCTTATATATAGAAACTCTAACCTTATAAATGCAGTAATATATTAATCGTATTGAAAGAAATCATTCTGCTATTCGGTAAAGAAACAACTCATAAATTAGATCATTCGGAAAACGTGAGGCACGTGGGAATACTATAGATCATTTAATATCGTTTAAAAGTTATTTATGTAACATATTTATGGTCAATTAAATATTTATTACGACTGTTAATTTTTTTTTTTTTTTTTGTAATGGAGGAATACGCAATTATAGATCCAAGGACAGTTCATTGCATAGAGATTTTTTATATAAGCTAAGAGCATTAAAGGTTTATATTCTTGATTTGCAATTCATGAATAGAAAGGGTTTAAATAATTATAATTAATATAGTAGAAAAATGTTAATTTTATGTAGTTATGTATTGATATTATAAATGATATTTTGTATACATAATTAAATAAAATTACGTAACTAATATCTAACGCTCACAATGGAATACCTAATTAGCATTAAACGATAAATAAAACCGATATTAAATTCTAAATACTTCATGAAAGTTTTCCATAAAGTAAGTATATATTATATAATACATTAAAAAAAAATCTGTTCTAAGAATCAATTTTAGTAATAGTAACTACAATAAAATAATAACGCCTCTTAATAATAGTATTAATTATATTATATAATTACATAATATATAATTATTAATTGCATTATAATTATAGTATTATAATTCTACTATAATATCCAAATGAATAATAAAATCGCTATTTGGAAAATTTCCTTCTAAAATACTCTAATCGTTATCTGAAAATTTTAGATAAAATTTTAATATCAAATATAACTCAAGACGTATTCGATATCACACATTCGGCAATAACAAAGTTTGTAATTACTAGTACAGTAAAGAAATATTTGTTTTAATAAATGTAGTTGTGTTGATTTTAAAACAATGAAACAAATTATTTAGATCTTTAACTAACTTAATAATATCATAAATATATATATGTATAAGAAATTTCTATAAAAAATTACATTTACATTGCCACAAGAATGGCAAATGTTAGAATTCAACATCTCTCGTGAAGTTTTTTAAAAAATATTTTATTTTACTCCAGTTTATTTCACTTCAACATTTTTTTAACTGCTGGCACTTCATCAGTGCAGCTCTTGTTATTGCTTTTATTTTATTGCTATTCTATGTATACATTTGAGTTGAGTTGAGTCTCGATTGCATACATTTTTAGTTTTTTATATCAATTCAATTTAGTGGCATAGTTCTTATACATTTAGTTATTTCGTTGTACAATGAAACCTGTTAAGTCGGGTATTTTAAAAATCTTGTTAACTGTTGATTTGTAAGGAGAACAAGAGGACAATTAACAACTATACGATTCAATTATAAAAATCATTGAAATAAAATTTTTCAATTATTATGTGTAACATAAAGCTGTTTATAATTGAGGAGCTCACAACAATAGAGTTGGTGTGAATGTGGGAAAGAATTGGTAATAATAACATACTGGAGGATGAATTATATATGCAAAAAACGTTAAGTAAAATAGGATCTTAAAAAAATAGACTTCTCTAATGATACAAACATAAGGTTTATAATATGAAAAAGCCACCGAAAAATATGGTCATCCTGTTACTATTTTGATACTTATGTGGTGCTAAATTACTTACTGTTGTTCTCTTCTTCTCATGAAGCATACAACCTCTAGCATATATCTAAACCTAATTCTAACTCTATTAGGTGCGAATATTTGCTTATAAGAGGCGCAAATTCTGATATTTTGTTCGTGTCTAACTTGATGAGGTACAGAAAGCCTTATCACCTTGATTAAATTTTAATTAATTGTTAATGTCAAAGTATTACTTTGATGACAAAAACAATTTCATATTTGAACTGAACATTACTGTTTAGCTTTAATAAAAGCTATATAAAATTCGTGGTTCATCCAATTTCTAAAAAATTTTATTACAACTTTTATATTTTATTTTTTAGAAACTATTAATTTAATAACTAAAGAACAATAACATTATTTAAAAAAAATTGCTTAAATCTTATCAGTAGAAACTGAGAGGGTACCATGTACTTGAAGCTGAAATGAGCTATCTTCCATAATTACTACAATATTATTTCATTTTCTAAAAAAGATATTCATTGATAAACATAAGTGAACTATATGTTATTAGATAAGAAACCAAATTATATATTAATAGGACAATAGTAAGTTATTATTTCTCAAATTTTTTAATTTGCTAAATCTCGGAATAAGTAATTTAAAATTAATCAAAAGAATATTTAATGTATAGGCGAAAAATAATTTTTTTAATAAAAATTATACACATGACTTTGAAAAAAGTTAAGTCAGCTAATTTATATTAACAAATGTCGAACAAATTAAACAGCATAATTTTAATTTATCAATAAATTTAAAGAATATTAAGTCTGGAATATAATTAAATTTTAAGCACAGAATGTTTACATTTGTAAAAATAAAAAATTAATAAATTTGTAAAGTTTATTTTCTTTTATCATAATTTATGTACTTAGTGACTATATACAATTGACTTTTTAACTAATCGTTTACATCAAATTAGAAAACTCAAAATTTCATTTAAAAAGTATATGATAAATACTGATATCTGGATACTTTTCATGCCAAGGCAATGGTTTATCTAGACTTAAAAGTCTAAGCTTCATATGAAACCCGTTCTTTTATATATCGTTAAGAATACTATATAGTTCTTTAGACGTAAATAAATTAATGAAGCAAATTAAAACAGTTCTGTTTCGTATATACTTTGTTTTTTAATATAAATTTTTTACTGTAATTGATTAATCGATTCAATGCGTAAAACAGTCGACACGAATTTGAATACTTATGAATAGCAGTGTATTAAGTCTATAAATTCATATCATATATCTTGTCGTTTACTATTTATCTAGTAGTTGCTATTTTTTTTATTTATTAATACACTTTACGAGTGTGTTATCTACACCAAATGAAATTCAATTTTGCTTTCTGCCATTGAAAAATATTTCCGGAGCATATATCAAATTCATAGCCACTGCCAAGTAGAATATTTTATAATAAAAACTTTGTGGTTACGCTTTTATTATCAATACTTTACAGATACATTGAATGCATATAATCAATTGTAAGTAAAAAAAAGAGTACAACATTTTTGAACAAGTTTAACGAAATTACAAATAAAATACAAATTTCATTCAACGAATATTTGATCTTCAACTTAAAGTAGTTTTAAGTACTCACGCTTAATATACTTCACTGTAAAATTGATTTTGGTCGTGTGTTTAGTCAAGGTTAACTACTGCAAAACTTTTTGGGATTTTTATTAAGATTTGTGTTTAAAATAAATATGTTTACATACAACTTATTTTAAATACTTCAATTTCAAAACATATAACAATCATGCAAAATTTTTGCAAATATTGTCAAATGACACGTACAACTTATATAAATAAATTACATGAAAATAATTTACCAATTGCTCAAATAGCATTGCTGGTGCTTCCCAATTTTTTAATTTTTCATATATATCGGTTTTAGTATAAAAAACATATTTGTTTTTATAATTCATAAAATAATATATTCAATATTTCCGAGAATCTCTCATTTCTAAGCATGTTTCACCTTCAAAAATTTTTTGTAAAATAGTGAACAAATCAGTAATTATTCTGCTGCAATATCAAGAATTATATATATTCTTTAAGTGGTGACTTATTTTTTCTATTAGCTATTGTAAGAAAAGTATCAAAAAGTATCCGGATTTTGTTGTTTGTTAACTACTCCTTAAGTAAAAGACCTTTTTCAACAAAATTTTTTTTTGTTATGTTGGCACACCCTTTTTTGACATATGGTACAATTTTGAGCGCCATCTGTCAATTAGTTTGTTTACAGCAGCTGTTAATGTGTGACTACCTCAAGTGCATTTAGCGATTTTTACTATGGAAAATTCTTGTTGTACGTGATTTTTTGACCAAACACGGCACCACTGTCATCGCTCAGGCACCATATTCGCCAGATCTGGATCCGTGCGACTTTTTCCTGTTCCCGAAACTCAAAATGCCCCTTCGTGGTAAGCGTTTTGAGTCGATTGAATCGGTAAAAGAGAATTAGCTGAAAGAACTAAAAGCCATACCTTCACGGGCCTACGAAAAGTGT